TCGGGGTACATCAGCATCTGTAAACATGTTTACAGGTCAGAGCTGGTTTAAAGTCCATAGAGTAGTGCAGTTGTAGATTAAAATAGGTTAGTCTTGTAGTAGTTGAGCAGTGTTCAGTAGATGAGCTCTTTAGATAAACTAGAAGAACATAACAGAAATGCATAAAAGTACCAAAAAGTATCTTGGTATTACAGTGCATTTTTGGTCATGTATCATGTTAATACCATGGTATTCTAAGGAAATACCATAAAGAACCATGCAAATTACATAGTACATGGATATGGTAATCATTCAGTATCATGGTACATGCATGGGTAGTTGACAAATGGACATGGAAATGAACATAAAGCTTTACACTACCCTTCAAAAAGTTTGAGGTCATTAGAGCAATAAGTTAGGTGTATATAAGTTATATATATCAAAGTATGTCATATGTAAATTCATGACCAGTTCTTTTTGGAAACAAACACACTTAGATATGTCCAATATATTTCATACTGCAAAACAACAACTATGTTTTAGAAACCGCTAAAATTGCTTTATTTTTATGGTCAAAATCTGTTTCCTGTCCAACAAATTGTTGAAAATATAAGAGAAAATGGCCTTAAGAGAAATTACAAGTTGTGTCAACTGCCTATATACCACAAGTACTGGCAGGTGGTATTATTACCATTTGAAACCATAACTGAAGCTTTTCTTCCCAACCTCTGACCAATGAATAACACTCACTGGAGTGAGAGCAATTTATCACAGCGTGTGTCGGGCCATGGACTCTCACTCTCCCTTAGGGTCCCGCTGCCTGCCATCAAACACACATGCAGAAGACACATTAATACATTATTTCACTCAAAGTAATATGTTGAAATATCTCCATAATTCAATATTATCAGGGCCTGTCAGAATGGCCTGATTTTGGAGTTTGGGATGTCATTTTTTTCAATCATTGCCAAGCTGAAAATATTCAATAACCCTCAGTGGAAAGAACTGGGATTGTTTGGAGTGGGAAAAATAATCATTCACAGCATGCGATGCAGATTTTGCAAGTTCTGTCAGCATTTGTCCACAAAAAGTAATGTTTTATGTATGCTTAATGATGTGTGAGAGAGGTTTTTCCCCCGAGCCTAAGGTGCGATGCCCCTTCTAAAATAGACATCGTGTGTGCTGTTACAGGAAGAAACTGTCCTGTACTAAAAGTTTCATGGTCACTTCTAATATTTTTAGACCCTGGGAAGAATTTGTGGTTCAATAACTTATTGAACAGGGACGTGTCACTGCGTTCATTCATCCCACTGAATAATGGAGCACTCTGACACTCCCAAGGACATAGCTGAAATCTGAATAGTCCAATTATGAAACTTGAGTCAGATCTTTGATTTGCATGAAAAACATCTGGATTCCAGTTAGTCTCAGCCTTAAACACATACCATTCACAGACTGTCTGAAGTATACTGCAGACAAAACCAGCAACAGCCAGAGAAATCCCAAGTTCTGATTGGCTGGATGATATGTAACTTCTGTGAGGGTGCAGGTTTTTCTCAGTTAGCTGGGAAACAGCTGGAAAAAGTTTTTAATTAATAGTTCATTGTATTAATGACATTAAAATTAAAAGATATTGTTTGAGGCAATTATTACAGGGCTCCCATGCGCATGGCAAATCTCAGGAAATACATTTTTCACTGAAATACACGTATATACGAACATAATAACTTTTTGTGTCTTTTGGTAAATTGTATTTTCTACATATTTTTTAGTTACACTACCATTAAAAAGTTTGTAGTTTGGAAAGATTTTTTTTTTTTAAGTTTTTGAAAGAAGACTTTTTATTTATTTGATCAGGAATACAGTAAAAACAGTAATATTGTGATATATTATTACAATTTAAAACAAATGTTTTCTCTTTTAATATTTTAAAATGTTATTTACTCCCGTGATGCAAAGCTGAATTTTAGCATCATTACTCTAGTCTTCAGTGTCACATGATCCTTCAGAAATCATTCCTATATG